ATTTTTAACATTTAAAAAGATATTAAAAACCTCAAATATTTTATGCTGGTTCGTTGCTATAAATTGTTATTGCGCCATATATTTAATGTTTATAAATTATGAATATTTATTATCTCAATCAAGACTGAGAAAAAATTGTTTTACATTAATTACCCGTATAAAATTAGTAAAAGTATTTTTATTTGGTTAGACGATATTTCGTTTCAATTTGCTTTGCATGAAGTTCATAAAGTCAAACGAAAAAAATTAGTTTAAATAATCACGCCAAAATATATTTAAAACCAATTATTTTACTGACAGGGGTTCTAAAGTTTTTTATAACAAATGTAGGTAAAAAATAAATAACTAAATAAAAAGTTCAACATTAAACATCATTTCTTTATTATATTGCAACTGTAAATATTAAAATATTATCTTAAACTAAATCTATTTATTATTTAGAAAGACTAAGCAATAAAAACAAAATGCCCCTAAAATTATGCGATATTGTGTTGTTCATTTGTTGGTAATGTTGTTTACGTTGATTATTTTCATTAATATCAAAATAGTGGCAGTTTATTCTGTTAGTTGCTTTGCTCATTGGTGATTTATTTTTAATTTAATTCTATCTCAAAGAATTTTATAATTTTATGTTAAAAAAGAAAAGTTTTTATTTCATCGCGTGCTCTTTTTATAAAAGAGAAGCACAAAAGAGAAAAAATAAATTTGTGTATAATTGAACTTTCAATGAATAAGAGTTGTATAGAATATATATATTTTTTTGCGTCACTCAGTCTTTTTTTAGATGAAAGAAATAAAAGTTTAATAGTAACTTTTCTTTGAATAAATGAGAATTGGAAGAGAAAATTGCTTGAAAATTTTTATTTGTAAATTGTGTTTTTAAAAATTTTTAATTTTTCATGTTAAGAGACAATTGCTAAATACGACACAAATAGAAAATACCAAATATAATACATTTTTTAATGCGCGTTATGTAATTTTGACAATTTAAATTACCATCTATCTTGAATTATTACCCTTAGTTAATGTGTTAATTATTGCGTTATTTAATAACTTGTCCGTATTTTTGTTAAATATTAGTTGTATAAAACGGGCGAAAATATACGAACTTAATGTTTTTAATTTGATGGTTATAAAATATTGAACAGTAAACTTATAATCAAAATTTATAACGCTGACTTGTGTTGCTATTAATTGTACTTTTAATGCAAAATCAGGATCTCAAAGTGGCGGATTAAGACTTCTTAGGGCCCAGGGCTATTTTTGTTTTTAGAGGCCTTTTTATGGGCTAGAGCCTAAAAATGACTTTAAAAAAAAAAAAGGTGCTATAAATTTTTTTGGGGCCCCTAAATTTGCGGGGCCTGGGACTATAATCCCCTAGCCTTCTCCTTGATCTGGCACTGGGATCTCACATATCAATTCAAGAATTTTCATATCTGATACTACTGTCAACTGTATTGTTTAGTGTATTCTTGTACTTTTTTTTCATAACCTTAACAGGTTCTAATTGCTATTACAGGTTCTAATTGCTGACATTTTAAAAATTTCATTATCAAAAATTAAATGTAAAATAAAACGATATTTCCTTTTTATCCGTATCAATTTAATTAAAATCAGCATAATCAAAAAAATTTTATTATAAAAAAAGTTAACAATTCATCAAATATCTCTAATTAATACGGTCAGTTTATAAAAGTAATTGTTAATAAATACTTTTTTTCAACGGGAAAACAAAAAATTGTCATAGCGTAAAAATAACTAGAGAAGTTAGAAAATAGTTCCCATTGTTTAAATAAAAATAAGTAAGAGTCAGAATATATAATACTGCGCTCTCTTGCACAAAAATGAGAGATATAAAATGTTTTATATAATGTAAAATACTTGTATGAAAATCATAAGATTGGTAAATAAAGTTTTAATATTTGTTTTAATTTAAAAACAATAGAAATATAAGTAAGATATATAAATCTAAAAATTATTAAGATATCTGTAAAAAATAAGTTGCTCCTATAAAATAAAAATAATTTATTGTTTTTACTTTTTACAAAATTTTTTTGTGATGTTTCGAAAAATAATACAAATAAATTTGTTTTGCTGTATGTTAAAAAAATACTACATCGTACTTTTTAAATTAAAATAGAAAAATGATGCTTTGTTTAATTACACTTTTATTTGTTAAAAGTCTACCGTGACGTCAAGTACTAAAACTTTTATGAATTAAACGCGCTTCGTAGGAATCACCGAAGTCTGTAGATTGCGACGTATAACTTAAAGACTCCGAGTTTTTAAATAAAATGGAGAAGGCGAGCTTTGGCTAAAACAACAACATTAGTTTTTCTCGGTATGTATTCATTGTTTATTTTTAATCATAAAAACTTGGTTCAAACTTTTTTTTTTAACATTATCTTTAATATGAACACAACATGTGTTGGGAGTTTGGGATCCCTTTAAGTGAATTATATAGTGCATGAAAATGTTTCTTCCACATAGTGGCAATGTCGTTGTCACCAGTAACTCCACCAATACTAGCAACATGATTGGATGCCTTTACATTACTAATTTCATACACACTGTTCCAAAACTTTAAAGGATTGCCATTATAGATATTTTCTGTACATCTGTCAGCTTAAATTTGCTCAGTATGATTTTTAAAGTGGCTAAAAGCAAGTCTAAATACTGCCTAAGTTTTTTTCATTCTTTCAAAGATTATTCCATGTTTAGGCTTTCCATCAATTACCTAATGTTTGAATGCATCCCTGGCTAACACATGTTTATCTGCAACATAGTCATTCCATTCAGGAACATTAGATTCCGAATTTACTTCTAAACCCCTATGAGGTATCACGCCAGCCACAGCAGATTGCATACATTTTATAATGTTATTGTAAAAAAGATCAATTTCAGAAGCAATACATTCATGAAATACAGAGCAATTAAATATACTAAGAGGTACTTTTATTCTTTGTAAGCAAATAATCCACCTTTTGTTCATATTGAGTTAAAATGAAACATTCACAAGCTTGCCAATCTGGCTTACTAGGCAACATTTTGAAAGTAGAATTATAAAAAATAGCTTTGCTATTTACTGAGCATGAAATTGAAAAAACTAATGGTCTATGGTCTGATGCATTGATTTCTGTTAATACTAAAACATTTGCTATTAATTTATCCACAGCATGGCTACATAAGACATGATCTAGCCAAGAAATATTCTTACTATCAACACTAATATAGGTAAAAGCATTATTTAACCTGTTTATATCAGATTTAACCAGATTATTTTCAGTAGCAAGATTTAAGAACTCGTCATAAAATCTTGACCCTTCATGACAATTAAAATCACCTGCAATAATAGTGTATACTGTATCTGTTTCTACTATGATAGCATTCAATTTGGAGCATATATCAATATAGGCATTCATAAGCAACACCAGCCCAATATTGGTATCAATACGCAAGCATGTAATTCTTGATTTATGTGATTCAACAATTTTAATACAGCTTGCAAGACTTTTGCGATACAATATCGCAGTACCTCCATTAGAGTGGATCAATTTTCATAGCAAAAAAAAAAAAAGTTTAAAAATCAATATTCCTGAGACACGAATTGATGTCTATTAATTATAAGATGAAAGTAAAAAAATATTTTTTGATTTTGATGAGATCTTGAGGTTCTTCTTTGGATTCTAAATCCTTGACATCACACCAAAAGACATCACATCAAAAGATTCACAGCTCAGGCAAATCAAATTTCAAAAATTTTAAAAATCGCTCTACCCTAACCACCATAAGGCCTTACATTTAATACATTTGATGATATGTTGACTGCAGATAATTCAGTACTATAGAAATCAGGATATATACTGTTCAATATATCAAGGTCATGCGGCAAAAGCCAATGTTCTTGTAATAACACAAAGTCATATGATTTACACAAATTTTTAATTAAAAATAAACTGTTCTTTAGAGAGCGACAATTGAATGAACAAAAAGACAATGATTTATGATTGGTAGCCATTTCTAGGTTAAAAATATTTTCACACTAATAACCCCTTTGGCCAAACTTCCGTTGACAATTGTATTTTTCATATTGAGAGAATTGACACTAACAGCAACATAGAAAGATGAATATCCTTCATGCTTTGTTTTTAGCTTTTGACACTTAACTGATTCATTATTTTTGATTTGCAAAATATCAGAAGTATATTCTATAAGTTCGTTCTTCGTAATAGTGGATTCAAGCCACAACACAAATATATCGATAGTTTGTTTGCTAACTTTTTCATTTGCATATTTTTCACTAATGCTTTTATTCATTATGTATGAATAAAAGCATAAGTATGAACCTGATGTTAAGGTATTCCTGATGGAAACAAACCTTGTGCAACTAAGACAAGACTCACCTACAGTGGTGTTAAAAAAACAGAATTTAATCTCATTGGAGCAACTAACTGCACACTAATTACAAGAACCAGATGAGACAGTATCATTTGATCTCCCTGAAAATCAACCTACTCCATCCAGTGGGTCTTAACCTATTATGTCCAATGAGGTTAAAAACAATATTTTACAATCAACTCGGAAGTGCAACTGCAAATCAGTTGAACTTAAATCTTAATTATGTAGAGGTGAATGTGATGAAATCGAATATTATTATTGTTGTTGTTATAATATTATTTAATCTAATTGTTTTAGTTAATAAAAAATTAAAAAGTAAAAGCTTATAACAGATTCCTTATGTTTAATATAGACAAAATTAAGAGCACTTTATGTAAAAACCATTAAAATAATGGAGTTGCTTGTTGGTTTTAAAAAAAAATAAAAATAAAAATAAGCAACTTAATAGAGTACAACTTTTTTTTTTTTTTTTTTGAATACAGAACTTTTTTTTTATTATTGTTTTTATTATTTTATTTGTTTTGTTCGATTTTTTTATTGAATGATTTATGATTTATGATCAAAATGCGACTGGTTAATACAATAATTGATAAAAAAATTACCGGTTGCAAAAGGTGGTCCTTGATTGCTTTCTGTATTTGATTTTTTTGGTATTCCGCCTGAAACGTGACAAGTGCATTCATCTTTTTGATTTAGCAATGAATTGAACTTTGCATTATTAAACCAGATTTTTATAGATTCTAGATAGTTAATCCTATATATATATATATATATATATATATATATATATATATATATATATATATATATATATATATATATATATATATATATATATATATATATATATATATATATATATATATATATATATATATATATATATATATATATATATATATATATATATATATATATATATATATAGGATTATATATATATATATATATATATATATATATATATATATATATATATATATATATATATATATATATATATAATATTAAATTCTATATATATATAAATTCTATATATATATATATATAAATATATATATATATATATTTATATATATATATATATATATATATATATATATATATATATATATATATATATATATATATATATATATATATTATATATATATATATATATATATATATATATATATATAATTTAAAATTAAAGGTGTTAAAGATAAATATTAACATATTAACTGACAAATATATTTGTTAAAAACCAATAAAAACTACAAATTATGACATGGTAAAAGCCATTACAATAATAAAGTTAATTAAATTGATAAATATATAATGAGATGTTAATTTATTTAAAGAATGATTCTCTCAATTAATGTCACTCTATTTATTTTTAATTTAATTAATCTAAATTTATATATTTAAATAATTTGACTGCCCCACCCCTATTTTTTTCTCTTCCATTATTATTATAATTATGATAAAATATTAGGGTGAGTTTTCACTCATCCGTTTTTTTACAGGAAAGGAAAAAATAATCATGTGAGCATGCGCAGTTTTACTTTGGACAAATTAAAACTTATAATACGCATGCCCACGTGATTGTTTTTTCCTTCCCTTTCCTGTTCCCGCGAAAAAACGGATGAGTGGAAACTCACCTTTATACTGATCAGTGCCGTGCCAGACAGTTGGTAGGCCCCCCCCCCAAAAAAAAAAAATTTTGGGCCCTTGTAACACGTCAAGCCCGTCCCCCGGTTTAGGAGGGGGTAATTTGTTTTTAAAATCACTCCTTCCTCACCGCCCCACCCGCACCCCCTAAGAACTGTCAACCTTTGAAGTTTTATCGATAAAATTAAAAAGTAAGAAGAAAAAAAAAAATTCGATTTAAATAATAATTTGATGTTTTGTAATTTAACTAAACGCTGTGTCTAGTGCAACGGTACTGTTGCTTTAATTTTTGTGCCTAAAGTCACTAATAGTCATTGTGACTATTAATGAACCAATCGGAATTCAGCAAGTAGCGAAATCTGATTGTTCCTTTTTGTAGGTTGCAAATATATACTTGTATACTGATATAGGGGTAAACACAATTTAGTGTACACACGTCTACTGACTATCTAGAAATTGGCGAAGTGGAGTGTGTATACATCGACTGACTATCTAAGGATTGGTGTAGTGGAACGTACATACATAGACGGAGGGTTTTGGCCTGGGCAGGCAATCTTTTGAATAAAAGATTGCTTTTTAAATTAAAAATCGGCAGCTGTATCTTTGCGCTGCGTAGACTAATTTAGTAATACAAAGCATCTTTTTCATAAGATTTAACTTAAACTAAGCTAAACAAAAACAAAACTTTCTAAACGAAAGTTTTACTAAAATAAAACGTCCACTAACTCAGCAATACAATCAATGGCGGATCCAGGTCACTGATTGGTCCTAATGGAGGATAGTTGGAACAACAACAAAAAAAAGGGCCCTATTTTTTTAGGTTAAACAACTATTTCATTTGATCATTCCCAATGTTTATATATTGGCAAATATATACAGTACAATCTCTCTAATTCGAACAAAAATGGGGAAAATAAAAAATCAAATTTGAGTGATTTTAGAATTACAGAAAGTTTTTTTCACATAAGGGTATTTCACGGTGACTTTGCATTTAATCGATTTATGGAGGTTTTCAAATTAAGGAGATTCAAATTAGAGAGATTATACGGTATATATATTAAATGTGTGTATAACTTTAAAACAGCATTTTTTTAATTTTCCTTTTTTTTTTTTAATTTTTATTAATAAAAATGTAAAGTTTGATAGTTCTTTGGGGGCTAATCCCCACCCCCTCCTTTGAATTCGCCAGTCAATACAATCATCATTGTATGCATGTCAATACATGCATCATTTTGTTAGGTTTACCGAATTTGAAAAAATAAGCAAACGTTAATACGAAGTTTTAATATTATAAATAAATAAAAAACACCTATATCATAATTTTAATTTTCAAAAAGGGCCCCTTCAAGTTCCTAGCCCCCCCCCAACCGGGGGGTTTGGGATGCTTTTGGCACGGCACTGATACTGATTCAGAATTATATGAAAACATAGGTCTGAAAACTTGAGGAAAACAGTCTGATTTGATGTTAAAGTTTTTAAAACCATTATAATGTATTTTATAGGGGTGCACCGATGCATCGGCCTCGGCATCGCTTTTGGTAACCATCGGCCAACGCCAATTGTTTAAAAAAGTCCGAATTTTGTGTTTCTATATTATATAAAAAAATGAAATAATTATTTTTTTTTTATACATTATAGAAACACTAAATTAAAGAGGCTCTTTTTTCAAAACAATCGGCATCGGCTATGATAACCATTGGCCCATGTCGATTGTTTTGAAAAATGAGTCTTTTCAATTTTGTGTTTCTATATTTTATAAAAAAATATAACTATTATATTTTTTTTATATATAGAATATAAATTTTATATAGAATATAAATTTTTATATATAGAATATAGAAACAAAAAAATTAAAAAACCTGATTTTTTTAAATTATCGGCACCAGCCGATGGTTACCATGGCCGATGCATCGGTGCATCCCTAGCATTTTATCATAATCGATTATATATAATTGATTAAGATAAAATATATAATAATGGACTAACATGTTAGTAATTTCGGCGTCTTTTTGAAAGCATTCTTTAACCTCGTTTTTATTTAGAAATCAATCCTATAGAAGTTATTTTTTTAATTAGTAATTATAAAACATTTTCATTCCACGAAGTTTTTTTTTGTTGTATTTTGATATATGGTTGTATAAAGTTAAAAAAAAACGAGGTCTTTTAACGTTAGAAGTGGTCCGAAGTTATTGTACGATTTTTTGACAAAAAATCGTACAATAACTTTTTTTTTTTTAATTTTTTTTTAAATTTTTTTTTTTTTTGGTTTACATTTGTTAATCGTTGCACAGCCCATAATAAAAATAATAACTTACAATGGCATAAAACATAACAAACATAAATAAGATATCTGAAAGAAGATCGCAAGGATCTTGTCGTCAGAACCTTAAAAAACATTTAACAAGTATAAGATAGAAAAAAAAAATTCATAAACTTTTACAAAATTGCAATGCAAACAATCTGTGTCTGAAAAAAGATCAAGAGGATCTTCTCATCAGGTTTTAAAAAAGAGTAAACTAACATATAAATTAAAAAGTAAAAAGTATAAGAACAATAAATAAAATAAGTAGGAATAAACTTCTATAAACATAAAACTTCTATAAACAAAAAAAATATATATATATTTTTAACTTTTACTCATAATAACTCAATATATTATCTAATGAAAGAATGAGGTTTTTCAGTTTTTTTTTAAAAAGGCAAAAAGTAATAGGTACTTCAAAATTAAAAATCGCCAAAACAATTTTATTCCTAAGGTGTGGCGCTCGATAGGTAATACAAAATTGATTAAAGTTTGTTTGATAGAACGGCTCATTTAAAAAGTTATTATTTCTCAAAATATATTTACTGACAGGTTTAAAAGAGAAAAGATTTTAGGGATAAGTTATTTATCCACATATACACAAAACATAAAATATTAAATACATTCAACTCGTAAATATTCCGAATTCTCATTTCAATAAAATAAAGCTTCAAATGAGAGAAGCGATTTGCAAAATTGATTATACGGATTGCACGTTTCTGACGGAGATAAAGACGTTACAACTTACTTTTTTCTGTACTTCCCCAAGCAATATTGGCATAATTTAAATAACTATGTATAAATGAATAATATAGTTGGATTAAGACATTCTTATTGAGACAGATACAAAACGTACAGTAACGTAAGTACTGTACGTAAGAATGGAAAACCGGATGTAAAACTTTATTTAAACTTTTCAACACCCAAATTACAGGTAAAAATAAACAAAGTATATAAAGCTAATAGTTTATACAATTAGTCTGAAGTTTAATTTAGATTTTTTTTTGTAATATCTTTTTCTATCAAGTTTTTAAATATGGTTCTTTGTTCTTTGATATTCCAGAATTCGAAGGACTTGTTTAGAGTTGCCGCTACATTATCTTTTTTCAGCATTTGGGCGGTTGATAACGAATTTTTTACCGCCTATTAAACATTGGGCAAATTTTAACTTCAATCGTTTGCAAACTTGCTTTACTTTGTTGATAAAGTGGTTATCCTTATTATTCTTTGATAATCGTGTCAAAATTGTGAGAAACAAGTAAATATTTTTATCAAGATCTCATTAAAAATGCCACAAAAAAAAATTACAGTAATCAAATTAACAAATGTAAATTTAATAGCAAAAAAACATGGTCCATCCTTAATGTAATAACGGGAAGAGAAAAACTAAATTCCCCTACACTACCTAAACGAATTGTTATTGAAAACAACGATATATTTTGTCAAAAACTCATCTCGGACGAATTCAATAAATATTTTATAAGTATTGGTCCGAACCTTGTTAAAAAAATAATACCAACATCTTAATCTTTTAAAATCTTAGTCCCACAAGTAATGTTATAATGCATGATTACGAATAAAGCTATGACGAATGTGAGGCAGCTTTTGCCTCTTTAAAAAAAAAAAAAGCACCAGGATTTGATGAAATACCCAGTGATATAGTTATTGCAAACAAACATTCTTAAAAGTCTTAATAGATCTCTGATACATATACTAAAGCTCTCGTTAAATTCTGGGATTTTACCGTATGTACTTAAATTAGCAGTAGTAAAAAAGTAACTCCTTTATACAAATGTAATG